ACGTTCTATATGATAAGAAATATGAAAGGAACATAACTCTAAGAGGTTCTCCTATTTCATTTCATAGATGGCAGATATATTTCATTAAATCTGGAGAAAATGAAAGAACGGCATTTAACCCAACTGCCCCGGATTTATGTTCTGTCCCCTGCAATTTTTTTTTATGAATTTTGTTACATACAGATAGCTCCACATGTGCTCAGCCAGCAAGGAGTCTATCAGTAGGCCCTAGTGACTGATCCTGATTTCCCAAATCCTTGAATTGGTGGGAAAATGTATTTTTCTTTTTAATACAGTTGGCATTGATTCTGTTATTATTGTTATTGATGTTATAATTTTTGTCATTAATATCTCGATAATATTTAACCCAATGCTGACAGGCATGATGTGTACATAGGTACCATACCCATCATGAGTTACTTGTTCATTGTTTTTACACATAGATACACTTGTACTAAGTCACCAATGAGCCAATTACGAGTACTGCCTGTCTTGGCCGTTTACCCTTTTCTTTGATTTACAAAAATATTTTACATTATCTTATTTTACTGTTATCAATGTTTATAACATTATAGTAATTATAATGCTTATAATAAAAGTAACACCATCGGTATTCATAGCACTTAATAAAATACATTCTTTCCAAATTACAAGGAAACAGGTAAACATGTGAGATAGGTAGGACCAATAACTGACTCCTTGGTTGCTAAGCACTTGTAGAGCCATCTATGTGTAAATACAATAAATAAACTTGTATTACATTAGGCATGGCATGTAGTTTTCTGTGTTCCATTAGTGTCTATGTAGGTAATGATACTAAAGTCTACATTAGATAAAAGAAAAAAAAGCCTTTGTTAGCAATATGAAGCTTGAAATCTTATTGAGAGAAAGTTTGTAGATCAAAATAAGGAATGTCAGAAGGCAAGGATAATGCAGAGGAGAAAAAGGGAAGGGAAGAAAAGGAAGAAAAGCAAAAACAATGAGCAAGATAGGAGAACTTGGGAACAGAGACACAAAAGAGAAGAAGTCAAAAGAGTACAAAATAAGACTGGACTGTTTAAAAAAAGAAAAAAAAAAGTGAGGAAAGACAGGGATGGTTATGCTTCATGTGTCTGTAATGTACACTAACCTGCCTACCTGCAGCTGTAGGAAATTATTCTGGGTGATAGAAATGGTCTGTAGGTGAGGCTGCATTGAAAAAGTATTTGAAGATATTCCAGTGGGGAGAAATAGTCATTGCCTGAGAAGATTGTATAATATAAACTATAGGTACTTTTGAAATTAGTAAGACACACTCCAGAGAAAAATGTGTCATAATTCTGCTATTCCAGATTAATGCAAAGCTGTTGTTAACTAGTCCAGCATAAAACAGTCTGAAAGCCTTAATGCTGCTGACCAGGTCTACATTCTTGACACCATGTTATAGTTCATGAAATGTTAAAAGCCACAGATAATAACAGCATCTATATCTCTATACATATATCCCAGAAGCAGGATTGTGCCTTCTTGACATGTATTTAGAGTGTTGTGGCTTGGGTCTTTTGGAGTATTAATAGTGTTTCTGTTTTATTTTAGTTACTGAAGGTTTTTGCATTCTTTCTATGTTAGTAATGCAAGTGTTTTTAGTGTTTTTGTGATATAAGGTAACATGGTACTTTACATGGTTTTCTTACCTTCTGCACATGCATCTGTGTAAGGTATTGTTTTGTAGCCCGGCGTTTTGGAAATGTGTTGGTGTTTCGTATCATGAACTGGAACAGGCAATGATTATGAGAAATGAAATTGTTCCATAATTCCAACAAAACCAAAGAACATCACCAAATAATATATCAATTAAACTAGGAACAGCTGCTATTTTCAAACTTAAAAACTGTAAATATTCTCAATTTTCTGGATGCAGTTGGTTATCCTTTTTTACATTGACAAGAAAGAACAACAATATAGACATGTGCAGGAGAGGCAATGTCCACTCACCACAAGTATCATTAGCCTCCTTCTTCCTATCTCTTGTAGAGAAACCTTGGATAAATTATTATCAAAATCACTTCTAATATTTCCCTTCAAAATGCTAGTCACCAAACAATTTAAAAATTCTAATATGGTACAAATTCAAATTTAAGAGTTTCCTTAGCTAGTAGAGTTAGCAACCATACCTAGTCTCACTAAAAAGTCAAATTTCTGTGCAGTTGCATGGGTTTTATCCTAAACTCTAATAAACGGTTTGTAGTGATATAATTCTAAATTGGATTACTATGCAGATGGAGACAATCAGGAATGGTAACTGGTCCAGCATGTAGACTGGTAACATATCAAAAGGGTCCAGCTGTGTGGCTAATCTACTTATTCACAGTTTCATTTAAATAATTTTCTGCCATATCACTTTTCAATGTGGATTGTACGCTGATGTTTCACCTGATATATCCAGAGCAGTAGTGGGTTATTTCCAAGTCACGCATAACATAAGAGATGCAGGAAATACAATGACATGCCCTGTGTGAATGTAGATTTCTCAACTCTTGGGAATACAGTCTCTTATATATGATAAAAAAAAATTATGGGGGGGGGGGATAATGCAGATAATACATGACTGGATACTGAAGTAAAAATGTTCTTAATACTGGACTACTCTACCATATCTTTTCATCAATTAACTATTTCTTCTCTCTCTTGTCAGCAACATAATTGAAAAATCTGTAGAGATTCATTCAAAATATGCTTGGCTAGGTACAGTACAACTTCTTTGTACTTGTTGATCCATACCTGCTATACTAGGCAAAGAAACCATGTCTTATGTGCTACTTGGCAGTTGGGATGGTAGAGTATTTAGTGAATTACAATATATCCTTAACAGAATATCTAGTATTATTTTTTCATCCACCAGACAGACCATTTTTCAATTGTTTTATCTAACTGCTTAACCTCTACGATCCAGATGATGTGACCATCACATCATGAAAAAACTTGGCTTGAGGGGCAGGTACCATGAACATGACATCACAGGAAAATCAAGCTGTGGGCAGGGGCGACGCAAACTTACCACTGTGATAATTTCAGCTGAAGGTTGGGGTGATGGGAAAGACTTGCCACAAGTGCACAAAGCTCTTGGAGGGTGATTAGACTCATTTAGCATTTAGGAAGGGACTTTTGCATCATTTCTATCAATAAACAAATGTGGAATGCAATGTCCATGAGCCATGAGTGAAAGAGTGCTGGCTCCTGGAGGATACTACTTCCATGCTTGGGATCCTATTCCTGGCTGCCATGACCAGCAGTGCAAGTTGTATTACAGAAAATTGAGTTACTTATTGTATTACTATGGACACTATCTAGAGAGATGATATGGAATCTCTGCAAGGAAAATAGTCTATTACCATATGAATAAAGCAAATCAAATGACAAATATAGACACTGGAAAATAGCATGAAAGTTAAAAATGCTTATGCAGAAAAAGAGAAAATAACATTGCAAAGGGGAGGGCATGGAGTCTTGTCACCACACACAAGTGTTCCTTTGAACCCAGTCTACAAACCACACACCCATGTAGTTCCCTCTCACTGAGGCTTAATGCAAATATTTTGGGCAATGTGACGACAGTGATACATACATCCTGATCCAATGGGTTAAACTCCTTTCAGGCCACATGAATCAAATTTCTAGGTATGGGATCTTCTTACTGACATGTAATAGAAAAATGTTAAGGCACTCCTGGAATTCTCAAAGGATACAAAATGGCATATCTAGGCATAATTATATAAAACGGGCTTCATGAAATATCACTTTGTATTCTTATCATTTTAGATAGTGAACCTGTGCTGTGTAACTTTAATATATGCATTAATATATGTTTTGGTCTAGTTTTACCAAGTATATTTGGAAGAATATAAATCACAAAGGAACCACAATCTTTTTCTGCAATTTATCATTTCCCTACTATTAGAATATGCAGAAATCTTCATAACATCCAATATCAAAACTGAAATGCAATGCTCACAGATGTTCCTGCATTGCTTACATTTCACATAAAACAAACTAATATCACGCTACAAAAAAATACTGAGTGCGGGACCCAAGTATAAAGTTATATGCGATAGTTTAAGAAGAGAAGGTAATGGAGCCATAATGGAGAAAAGAATAATATTCAACAGACTTCCTTTAATCAGGATCGCTAAAGCTTCCACTTTGAAAAAAAAAAATAATAATAAAAGACAGATCACCTATTTCTTTTTTCTTCATGGTATCATTACAAATACTCATTAGCTTAACCCATACATCCTGTAGTTATGTAGTGTCCACTGTAGTTTTTGTGAATTTCGTTGCATGCAGATGGCTCCATAAGTGCTCAGACACCCAGGAGTCAATCAGTAAGCCCCTGTGTCTATGCCTGATTTCCTCATTCCTTGAATTTTCTGATACTATAAATACTAAGTACTGTTAGAAATATTCTTATTATGATTACCCTAATGTTACTAAATTATTAACAACAGTAAAAACATTTTAAAAATGAAGAAAATTTCACTTTTAAATCAAGGAAACGGGTAAACAGATGAGATAGGTAGGACTAATAATGGACTCCTTGGTGACTAAGCACTTGTGAAGCCATCTATATGAAAAAACAATTAAAAGATCAAAATTACAGTCGACATGACATGTACTTTTCCCATACAGGGCCACTGGGTTAAAGATAAAAGCATTTATTAATCCCCTTCAACCAAGTGCTACACCTTATCATAATGCAAGATTATGAGTAACAGGCTTTTTTTGTATCAATATTACATCTTACCTAAATTTTCCAGGAAAATCTTTCCAAATCCTAACAATTTTCCTTGAAGTTGTATTTACTCTTCACAAATAAAGAAAACTGTTATTTGAAAATGCCATTCATCTAAAACAACAACACTACCACAGACTTCACAGAAATACTGCTATCATTTCTATTACACTAATCTAGATCTGGAAATTATTCTAATCGTTTCTATAAATAATCATTCAATTGAAAAACTGACTTTTACAAGCATTTTCTATATTTGCATTAATATCAAATAACTAAAAATCCTAAAGAGACATGTACCTTACTCAGCACTTGACAAACAAACAGTCAATAATTATAAAAACAAGAGTATAGTACTTACTTGTGAGCCTGTGTGAGGCTCTTTCCCTGACGATTTTCCTGAAGGTTGCGGTATATGAACATGTTGCTGTAGCTGTTGCAGTGGCTGTGGCTGTGGCTGTGGCTGTGGCTGTGGCTGCTGCTGTTGTTGCTGTTGTTGTTGTTGTTGTTGTTGTTGTTGTTGTTGTTGCTGTGGCTGTTGCTGCTGCTGCTGTTGTTGTTGTTGCTGTGGTAATTGTTGTTGTTGTGGCTGTAGCTGTGGTTGTAACTGTGGTTGTAACTGTGGTTGTAGCTGTGGTTGTAGCTGTGGTTGTGACTGTGTTTGTGGCTGTGGTTGTGGTTGTTGTTGTTGCTGTTGTTGTTGCTGTTGTTGTTGTTGTTGTTGCTGTTGTTGTTGCTGTTGTTGTTGTTGTTGTTGTTGCTGTTGTTGTTGCTGCTGTTGTACTTGTTGCTGCTGCTCAAAGTCTTTCCGGTCTAGTGACAGAGTCATTGGATCTCTATGAGTCCTTATATTGCCATGCATTCCCATGCCAGTATCAGTATCAAGGTAGTGTAGGCTGATCACAGCAGCAGTGCCAGTTGCATTGAGCACGCACACTTCATCACTAATGGATAAAAAGGGGATAGTCAGCCCTATATTTTTTCTACTCTCTAATATTATAGCAAGAAAAGTTAATGGCAAGTATTTTGTGTTATTAACCAACACAATATGACTAATTGAAAGGATTACAGACAACCATACATATAAAATTTAAAGAAATTTCATATCCCATAAAAATATATCTATCTATCATTTCAAGATATTACTGATTCTTTCCTCCTCCCTTTCTTTTTATAACAATCAATAATGATATCTGATAAGTGTATTTTCTCATAACAATGAAATATCCTATTAGGAAAGAAGCATATCTAGTCAATGCAGTATTAATGAAATGAAAAAAAAATCACATTAAATATGACAAAGTATATGAAGCTAATGAATTCCTTTTAGTTTTACCACTTAACCCTCAAGTCCTAATCACCAAGATCATGACATCCCCTTGCATGCTGTCAAAAAATATCAGGCTATTATTTAACATCTATTTCACTGGAAAATGAAACACATAAGTCTGGTACTGCCTGGCAAATTTCCTTCAGCCCCACACTATCACCACACCCCCAGTCCCTTTGTAGGTCCTCTTTTCCCTGAGACAATCATACAGCCTTCATTCCTGTCAGTGCTAGTAATTTTGGAAATTTATAGTACATTTCATCCAACTAAAATTCCTGGAGTAATTGCTGTTCTTAAGAGTTAAATAAGGCACATTAATCTGGGCCACTAAGTCTCTGAAAAGAGAAAGTCAAAACAACACAAAACCCCTATTCTTCATTAACTCTATGATATGAAGTTCACAGTCTCTGCATTGACCAATACACCTTTGAAACAACAGTCTGTAGATATGCAATAAACAATTAAAAATACTTCATTCCTCAGGTTTTGTGGAAGTTCCACAGGCATTCACTTACTGTGCATGCATATGAGAAAATCCCTTGGCTTTTCTTCACATCCATCAAACATCAGTAACAGTGAGGCATAACCCCCTCACAATTATGCAAATTCACCTCAACTAAATATTACCATATGATCTTACCTAATTGTGGTAAACTCCTCATACCCAAGGACAACATTGCATGCAAGAGCACGGGCATGTGAGCGGATTTCCATCCTCAGTTGAGTCCACCAGTTGTCTCGTGTTTCTAGCTCCTCTGGGGTGTGAGTGCGGTCCAGAAGCTTTACAGATCGAGCACTCACGGTTCCACCTGATGGTTTAAATAATTTGATTCTCAGTTTCATCAACAGATTTCCCTCGTGCAATATCTGCATGACGTTTGTGTTAATACATTCTGAAGATAATCTTTTTCTTTTTCTGCTTTACTTTATTTTGATAACTATTATTACTATTCCTTACCAAGGTGTAGGATGAATCCAGTTGGGAAATTCTTCATGGTGAGGAAGGGGTACTCAAGGAGATCAAAGGAATCCTGGGTCATTATAGGTCGGTGTATCCCAGTCATTGTCCCCCCCTTGCCCCCTCCCCCTCCCCCTGAAGATCCACCACTACCTGCCAAGCTACCACCTGTTTGGGTTTAAAAATGAAAAGTAATAAACAGAAAATAAAATGTTTAACCTCAAATATCCATACTTTAATTAACTGCAATAAAACATATGCTCCATGAGATACATTAAATTTATAATATTCTTCAAAGAAAATTATCATTAATAATGACTGATTTTTCTCAGTATTCCAAAATATGAAAAAATAACAATACAGACTCAATAGCAAAAGATAATAACAATTTTAGTATTATCTTTAGTATAATAAATTTAATTGATTATCAATTATATCACCATAAACCTTTGATATATTACATATCTATCAACTGACAAGAAATCATGAAGTGAGTATAAAAGTATAATCTAATGGTCACACAGGACACTGATTAAAAAAACACATGCCCGGTGTCTGTGTATTGATACACAACATTTAGACAGCATATTTAATTAATTCTTAGTCTGATTTACTGTAAGTGATATATCAGATTCTAAAAAATAACAATTATTATGTAATATCTGCCTCCCCTAAAGTTGTCTAAACAGACATGTAACCTTAACATACCTTTTGGAGTGATGGAAAGGTCAGAATCAGATGAACGTCTGTTGATGGAGACTCCCGGTGTGCGTGCAGGGCTGGCCAGCTTTCCTGAATGCGTTGGGGAGTGCGTTGGTATGCTTCCATTGGTGGCAGCACAGCCCACAGAACCAGCCTCATTCTTGGATCCGTCGGTCTCAATGGGTAAGGGGCTCCTGGACACGGGGTAACAGCCACTAGTATGGCGACTACGAGACGAGCGCTTCGGGGAGCCTACCATCGATGCTGAGCCGGGCCGGGCCTCCACTAACATGTCTAGGCTAGAGATGTACACAGGATGGGAGGGACACTTAGCTGCTACATCTAAAGCACACTGAAGCAAGTCTCTGCTATCCATGCTCTGACTACTTGCTACATGATGAAATGAAGAAGAGGAAGATGAAGACAATGAGGACAGATTTGAGGATGCTGATACCGAGGATCTGAATGAGGATGAAGTGGACGAAGGTTTCAAGTAATGTGGTTGCATGGTATTAGGGATTTGAGACATACCACATGTTAGAGTTGGGCTTGAAGTGGACACAGGAAGGTTGTTCTGTACACTTATACAGGGTGATACACACACAGATGATGAATGCCTCTTAGTTGCTGCATCTACTTTTATGCAGGTGTCATCGCTTGCAGCAGTATTTGCCTGCTCTAAATGTGGGAGTGTGAATACCTTAGTTTTTGCAGGAAGAATGGGAGTTGAAGGAGTAACTGCAATATCAGGCAATGGGCTGGTGTTCACATGGGGCATTTGCTCTTCATTTTGTTTTAAAAATGGTTCTCTTACTGGGAGGAGCTCAAGACTAAGGATCTCTGGTTTGTTGTTATAATCCAAACCTGATGTAACAACTAGTCTTTCCTCTTGCTGGGATTCTTCTAAAATAATGTTCTTCTCTCTCTCAGACTGGATGAATTCATGGGTTGTTGTGACCATACACAAACCACTCTTCCTCTCAAGTCTAGTCTGCTCATCACATTGTCTTTCTCCATTTTCTTGATTAAAACCTTCAGCAACAGGTTCTTCAAAACTTGTACATTTATTGCAGAATGAATTGCATTTTTCACAATAAGGAATAGCATTACCCAGCTGAGGCATAGGAGGTGATGTAAGAGCAAATTCAGCATCAGGTGTTGTGGACCCACACATCTCACTGCAGGACCTAATTGAGTCACTCAAAGAACGGGTCAAACCCCGATGTAAGTCACTAACATCTACAGGACCTGTAAAATGACTCTCAATAGAACTTTGCGATGTAAGCTCTTCCTCACTAATGAAAAATTTTTGTGGGGAACCTTGTGTTGGAACTTCACTTCCTGGTAACCCTACAACATGCTCTGGACTGCTGAAATTTGATGTGAGCTCTGAACTACATGTATCTTCATCTGAAGAAATAAACTGTAATGGTCCTGGTGAAGTTTGATCATCAACAAAACTTTCTCTAGCATAAATGCTCTTATTCAGTGTTGGATCTGAAAAGGCTGTTGATAATGTCTTATATGAGTACTCTATATTGGTTACTTCAGGACCAATGTCTTCTTCATCCGAATATTGACTAACCTCCTCTTCGTCGAGACCTATGACTTCTACATCAGGAGAATCTAGATCATAGTCTTCATTTGAGTCCTCTGGAGAAGTAATTGACCCCTCATTCCTATCTCTTACATTTTGAGGCTTCACCCATGATTGACCTCGACCCAACAGTCTCACCATAGGGCTATGTACTTTAGGAGCAGACTTTTGAGAACTTTTACTTGAAGATTTTCCACTATAAACTCCACTAACATCAAAGCTTTGAGACTTTTCAAGTCCTCGGAGCCTCATAACTTTCTGGGCTGTCTTGCGAAGCCCAGCTCTCAGAGACTCTATACTATCTTGTCGCACACCTGACCAGGTAGGAGACATAGGTTGCTGTCTGTATTGAAAACCATGCATTGGCCAGGGCCCTCTCGTCTTGTGAGGTCTGCGACAACCAAAACTTCTAGAGCAATTTGCATGTGGTAGGGATGAATTTCGCTGCATGTAAACTGGGGGATGTTGCGTGATTGTGGAACTTCTCTTACGTCTCACTAAGGGAAGACCACGAATCATGCGTTTGGCACTTGTCAGAGCTAACTGGCCTGGCAGTGGCTTGGAATGATCTGCCACTGGACTAACCATAAGGTCAAGCCACTGTGACGGATGATAGGACGGGTTATGAGGTGAATATGTTGGGCTGCATCGTAAAACTGAGTGTGGGCTGGTCCAAGGACTTGGGGAAGATGATGATAATTTATTAGGAATGTGAACAACAGAAATAGGCATAGGTTTATCAGAGTTAGGAACAACAACATACATATTCTCTAGTACAATCTCATCATCCAAACTAATTCACATACCATCAAAGACATTCAACACATTATAGATGTTAAGAGCAGGTATAATTAGGCAACTCATGGAGACAAAGCAGTGGTAATGAGACCATAATAGGCCCAATCACACCACCATCAAACAAGGGTTGTACAGTGCATTAATTGGTTATATTATTGGCAGGTTAATAAGAGGGAGAGAAGGATAATAGGAAAGAAGAACAGAGAAGCGATATTAATAAACTTTGACATATAAATACGTTTTACCTATCTTTTTGTGTAACCAGTTGAAAAAATATATTCATAGTAATAATACTATGTTTAAAAAAATATATATACATTTAATCCTAAAAAAAATTCCATTTCGTTAGGTAAATTTCACAAAAAAATTCCAGGCAAACCTATGTTGTAGACAGAATACACTAATACCACAAATATAGCACAAAAAGAGAAAAAAAAAGTTCAAAAAGCTTCTTACATAAATGGTAAAATCAAAATAGACAGCAAATGACAGCCTACATAAATGATCTATATGTGCAAATATCTTGAATCATTGTCTCTCTTCCCATACATTTTTCAAATTAAAAAACAAAAACAAAAAAAAAGGATGTATCTCATTCATATTTTAAAAGAATATTGATGTTCTTATGCAAACTCAAGACTTGTACTCACAATTATCCTGTCTTGCAACTTTCCTTCTCTGAAATCCCCTTTTATCTCTATTAACACTGAAATTAACTGCAGTATGTGAAATTTCCCACAACTCGTCATCACACCCAGTACCAGTATAATCACTATTCCATTATAGAGCTCTTACAAGAAATCAAAGTCTGTACTCGAAGATTCAAATTTTGACATGAACTGTCCTTACAATTTAACAGCAGTGACATGTGAATGTACGTCTTCTAAAAATCTGCACTGTAGACTCAGGATAAAAATGAGACTTTACATTAAAAGCACAGTCTTTGTAACAAGTCATAATCTTATTAAACTGCCAGTTCCTTTTAATTCTTATCACTGATACTAACAAAAATTACATAAGTATATTGGCTGAAAAAAACATTATGGAAAATGACCAACATACATTGCAGTTTTTGTTTCTTTACACTTGATGATTCACTCATATAAGAGTAGATACAGGTTCAGCAGGAGAGACAGTTTTAGATCTTTAGTCATAGAACAAGAATAACTTCATTTTACAGCATCCTCTTACAAGTTTAGTTTACTACTTCATGCATACTGCTATGTAATTTAGGACAGTTTATTTCTTTAACTAATCACTACAGGTGGGAGAGTAAATCTTTCAGAAGTTACTTTCCACAAGACGAAACTCTGGGAAGGAAACAAGCAGTGGAAGACATATATACAGTGAAATTTCTATGGCATCCCTGCTTTACCTATACAAATCAATAAGCATTAATAATAATTACCAGAAAAATAAGGAGTAACCACACTAAACAGCACCTAAATTTCCTGTCCTTGAGATATCCTTTTTAAAAATAAATCTCATCTTCTCTCTCCCTATCTAACCTCCTAAAGTATTTTCCCACCTTGCCATTTTTCTGATTCAATAATCTATACCTTTAGTTATCTACTCAACTACTCCTCTATCATTTTAGAATTATTTGTCTGTCTACAGATATATCTATCTTTCAATTCATTTACTTAACTACATAATGGTCTTTTTACCTAATTAATTCTGTGTTCCTCTATATACCTACCTACATGTTCAGTATTCTGTCTGTCCATAAAGTCTGTCCATCTATCCATCTATCCATCCAAACCTCTTCTATCCATTTATTCCTTCATCATTACACTTATCCATCAAAATCTGTTTATGTACAGTATCTCCACCTATCAATCCATTCATCCATCTACCTAATACTTCTTCCTTAACCCACCCATGACAGAAGACAAATCATCACATCATGGCGAACTGGACCCGGGTGAATGTACGCATGTTTCTTTCTCTTCTAATTTTTCACTTGAGCAGCTGACAGTGCATAAAGCTTGGTGCACAGCTCAGTAGAATGTTGGGATATCCTTTCACAAGTGGGTTAATAATAAATGATATATCTCTGAATGGACAAAACCTCACAGAGACACCCGCTTACATTCTCACTATCATGAGACTCTATCTCAATATTTCCTAGATATAATACTAGCAACATGTACTTTTAGTTATTTAATAAAGACTTCCTTCCCATCTACAGAAATCAAAAAGAACACATGAAAACTCCATCACGGAGAAGCACAGAAGCAGACATTATTCCACAAGAGGAAAACTGACGACTTCAGCATGCAACACAAGAGGTATAGACAACGGCATTCCGACAGGAGAGAAATAGTGGCCCTTCACTACCTAAAAACACAAAACTACCAGTACTTCCTTCCTCCTTTCTCCTCTTTCACAGCTTGCTTAAGTTAAGAGATCATGGATGGCAATCTCTATACTTTCATTCATAAATTTTTTGTTATGCTCTATCACTGCTTCCAAGTAATGAAGAAGAGGAGAAGAATTTTTATAAATCTTTCTTCCTTTAAGTGAAATAAATGTAAAAAAAAAAAAAAAAAAAAAAAAAAAAAAAATACTTAAATGCAAAACCTTTGGAGAAAAAACATAGATAATCTGAACAAGAAATTTAGCAGAACACTTATGTAAAGCTCTAAGCACACAGTAAATACACTTAAGCAAAGCTTGACCAGCCAGAGAACAGAGCAAGCAGTAAGCTACAAATCAACCCGGCTCTTTTTTGTCTAATGATATCATAAAACCGATTTCTCCCTTCAGTTATTCCATAAAAAGCCACTTTACAAAACAGGTCTTCAAACAAATTCAAGAAAAAAAAAAGATTCAAAGAATGTTTGGAAACAAGATACTTACATAAAACAATGTTTTCTTATTTACCGATGAAATCATTCTATGCTATACATTGAAAATGGTATAATGAAGTAATTATACAACTTTCTTTTTCTTTTAATCCAATAATAATATTTCTAATTTAGGTCACCACCACAATGCCATTGCACTGCTTCAGAACCAGTCTATAAGTCAATCTTGATTTTTAAAAATACTAATAACTAGCAATTGACTTATTATCCCTACTTCTACAAGTGAAACTATAATCATAAGGCAAAAATTTGCTCTCCATAGCCTGCCATGTTAAATACATGAAATTTAACCTATACCCGAAGTGGTTAGTGCATTTCATATTGAATAGTGCCAGGTGCAGATATATGCAAGTCCCCCAAATATACATACATACACACACATATATATCTATATACATATATATATATATATATATATATATATATATATATATATATATATATATATATATATATATATATATATATATATATATATATTATATATATATATTATATGTATATATATATATATATATATGTATATATGTATATATGTATATATGTATATATGTATATATGTATATATGTAAATATGTATATATGTATATATGTATATATGTATATATGTATATATGTACATATGTATATATGTATATATGTATATATGTATATATACATGTATATATATGTATGTATACATGTATACATATATATATATATATATATATATATATATATATATATATATATATATATATATATATATATATATATATATATGTATAAGTGTGGGTGTGGGTATGGGTGTGCGTGTGCGTATGTGATAATGTGTGTCTGTGAGTGTATATGTATATATGTATAGATATGTATATAAGTATATATATGTATATGTATATACACACACATACTTTCATACATACATACATACATATGTGTAAGATGAATAGCTAAAGAAAAAAAAATTACTCATGTATATACAGTATATACATAAAATGTACAAAGTGACATGAATATGTCATTTCAAGACTTCTGTTTGTTAAATATGAAAATAAAAAGAGTTAAGATATACAAATTTCCATAGAACTAGCCAGACAAAATGTTAATTCTATACACTGCATTTATGAATCACAAACTGTAACTCTTCTTTTTATCTACACCAACTTAAGAATAGAGTGCTTGTAAGAATTTTGAAATGATGGTTAGTGGAAGATTCTATCATTACATGCTGTTAAACACAGCACAAACAGCAACAGAAGTCTTTGCCTCACTGCTGATATTATGAGGCAAACTGGGCTAAATGTCTAATCAGCACTGAATTTTAACCCATTCGCCCCGGATTTATGTTCTGTCCCCTGTAGTTTTTGGTGAATTTTGTTATATACAGATGGCTCCACATGTGCTAAGCCGGCAAGGAGGCTTTCAGTAGGCCCTAGTTACCGACCCTGATTTTCCCATTCATTGAATTGGCGGGAAAATTAATACCATTGCTATCGATACTGTTATTATTGTTATTGATGTTATGATTATTAAATTGTCATTAGAATATTTTAGACAATGAAATGATACAAAAAACCCTTTCCTAAAGCAAAGGAAAAGGGTAAACAGATGAAATAGGTAGTTCTTGATAAGTGGCTATTTGGTGATTAAGAACTTGTGGAGCTATCTGTGTAAATACAATAAATAAACGTGTATCAAAGTGGGTATGGCATCTATTCTTGCCACGGGGGGGGAATGGGTTAATATGGTGATTCTTCGGATTTCATACCACTTCTCTATAATGTAGTGCCCCATAAATAAGTTGATGCTGTAGTAATAATACAAAACAATTTTTCTTTAATAGTGATGGCACCCACAGATTTATCATTATAATAGTTTTGGCAACATGTTGTATTTATCTAATACACAACAGGAAAAAAAGGCAAAGATACCTCTACCTTGTAATCACATATACACCTAACATTTAAAAGAGCTAGAGAGAAAAAGCTGTGATACCAA